AAGAAAGACACAGGAATGAAAAGATATATACTAGAATAACCCTCTTTCTTAACTTAACACAGACACTCTCTCTCTTTCCTCCAAGCGTTGTTTGGTCTGATTTTGCCCCCCCCCGTCTCTTTCTCCCTGTGAAGTTATAATACCCATTGCAGTAAGAGAGGCAACTAAAATGGGTTGCTTTTCCTGTGCGGGAAAGTCCAGCAAAAATGATAGTAAGAAGAAGCCTGATGATCAGATCCCATCATCTTCAGGTATTTCAATGAAAGACGCTATAAAGCTTGAAAATTTAGATTTTTTTCTCATTTTCTCAGTATCAAGTAAATATTTTTTGGACTGATTTTCATGCATTTTTTTTATGTAAAATGATTTGAATTGATGAAGTCGTGTCCTTCGCATAATTGTGTGAAACAATCTTTTCTGGGCTGGGAATAATGTATTGATCTGGACTGGACATGGAGGATATAATTCGAGATTGATGTTTCCTTTTAACCCATGTTCAACTCCTTTTAGGCTAATGTGGTCTGTTTTGAGGTTTAATCAAACGATAATGGCTTTGTGGGCATGGTGAGTTTCCATAATCATGAAAAGTGCAAACCATGTCTTTGCTTTTGTGTGATATAAGATCATACTGGCTTAAAATGATTGTCAGTAACTACCGGGATCATTTCATGGACGATTTACAGGAAACACTAGCATCAAATTCAAGAAATCAGATGATTAATGAAGGTGAATTTTATTATTACCTTTTGCCTTTGCCCACCCTGATCGTAAAATAAGGATTAATTAAAGTTTTGATGGATTTGTAATGTTATTCATGTCGGTCCCGTCACTTATTCATGTTTTTATTTGTTTGAAATCCTCACTTTTAAGAAGTCACTCCATGCTAATTCTAAAAGGCGGTTTAATTAATGTTGCAGTGGTTTTACAGGTGTTCAGTTTTTATTTATTTCTAGATCTCTGAAAAAACGGCAAGTTATTTGGTGTTGAGGTCCAATTGCCTTAAAAAGAACTGGTCTGCAACCATTTAGTTCAGAAACTGTTTATATTTCCGTTGCAGTTGGATAGATGGTGGTGCATATGGAAGCAATGCACAATACTTGTAACTGAGATAGATCGTTTTCTTGTTCTGTGTGATTGAAAAGAATCCCAGCTTGGATCCTTCTTGGATGCCTGTTTTGTCTTTCACGATTCTTGTTTTCTTTGTATACTCTCAATGACATGATGAAACGTTATCAATATCCAAACATACTTTATGTTTGCTGATGTAGTAGTATGTACTATATGTTGCTTTTCTACATTCATTTGTAGATGGTGTTAATTTCATTTCAGATAAAACAAAGTCAAATGGTGCTCCAGATGCAAAGGAGGCTTCCAAGGATGGAGGCTCTGAACACATTGCAGCACATACATTCACATTTCGCGAACTGGCAAATGCAACAAAGAACTTCAGGGCGGATTGTCTTTTGGGTGAAGGAGGTTTTGGCAGAGTATATAAAGGGAGATTGGAGAGTACCAGTCAGGTTGGTTGAAGAATTTATTGGAATTTTAGTTTTCACCAAAAAAATTCAGATGCAGCACATATGCTTAAGCATTCTGTTGTGTACTCGGGATCAAATTATTCCTACATGTGTACTAGTGTTATTTTATAGAAAGTTCTTCTAGAAAATTTTATAGGCATTCTGTGGACCTTTAGGCTGACATTTTGCATGTTCTTAAAAAGAATAGTACTAGCAGAAAAAAGACGTTGGGTGTGTGCATTTTAAGCAATGGAATAAAAAAAGAAGTGAAATAAGGCCTCAAAGAACCAAATAGGATAAAACAAACACTGATAATACTTAGGAGAGAAAGTAATGCTAATCTGGCCAAGACTGACATTGCAGCTTCACGTGTTATTTTGCTGCCACACATCACCTTCCATGATCATTATTGCCTGGAATAAACAGCAGTTCTGCCTTCTCACAACTTCGATCATGCCATGATGGTCACCTCATCCCACCAGTGCCATGCACCATCACTTAGCCTGTACTGTGATCAATGTTGCTACCTTGATCCCTGGACACTATTGTCACCATCACTACTCAAGTGCCAGAACCTCACATTATGACTGTTGCACAGCACCCTCTATCATCTAGCAAATCCCCATGTGTTCATCTATGTACACTTCCACCTTGCAAGTCAAAACCTACACCAGAATCTGTGCTGCCCTTTCACTGCTCCTGAAATCATTGTTACAAGCTCATTGAAGGCATTTTAGGTAGTATGGGTTGCTTCTTAATGTAGTATAGTTGATCTTGCTTAGTGGTTGCTTTTTTCTAAAATATTTATTTATAATTTAAAGCGAATAGGAAGTTAACTAAAAATAAGAATCATCAGGAGACGAGTTTTTATTTGTAGTTTTTATTATTTTGGGAAGGATAAAAGTGATGGGAATTATGAAGTGCGTATTTCACCAAAAGGAAAAGCTTGTGAAGAACTTCCTCCAAAAGTTATATGCTTCTAACTGGAAATGTTAAATATTGATATTTATTTAGCCGTGGTTGTTGTTTGTTAAGTTCATAATAATCCCATAGCTGTCAGGATAATATCTTTTTAATGCATATGGTTTTGACCATATGCAATAGACCTTTGGTTTATACCTTAACCATGTTCTTTGGATTGTGTAGGTTGTTGCTATCAAGCAACTTGATCGTAATGGGCTGCAAGGGAATAGGGAATTCCTTGTTGAAGTATTGATGTTGAGCCTCCTCCACCATCCAAATCTTGTTAACTTGATTGGCTATTGTGCTGATGGAGATCAAAGACTTTTGGTTTATGAATATATGCCATTAGGATCTCTGGAAGACCATCTCTATGGTATATTACCAAATCTTGATTTCTAGATAATTAGGCTGCAAAAAAGATGTGTTTTTTGTCCATTGCATGTATTACTAAACAGTTGAATGAGATGGGTGGCAGGTGAGGTGCAAAAATTACATGGTTGCAGCTAAGATTTCTGTTCTAGATTATCATTTCTTGTTTAATCACTGCGGTGGCTTCATATACATTTCTTGACCAATGCTTCAGCATTTTTTCTTCTTATATGCTTATATTTCAGACCTGCCACCTGATAAAAAACGACTTGACTGGAATACAAGAATGAAAATAGCTGCTGGTGCCGCAAAAGGCTTGGAGCATTTGCATGACAAAGCTAACCCCCCTGTTATATACCGTGATTTGAAATGCTCAAACATTTTACTTGGTGAAGGTTATCATCCCAAACTATCTGATTTTGGCTTGGCGAAATTGGGTCCTGTTGGTGACAAGACTCATGTATCCACAAGAGTGATGGGAACCTATGGATATTGTGCACCTGAATATGCAATGACAGGTCAGCTTACTCTGAAATCAGATGTTTATAGCTTTGGGGTTGTTCTCCTTGAGATTATTACGGGAAGGAAAGCTATTGATAATTCAAGAGCTGCTGGGGAGCATAACCTGGTTGCATGGGTAAGAAAGTTGTCTTCTGCCATGGTATTTTCATCATTTCTGTGTAGATGCTTCATCTGAATAAATATGTGGTGCAACGACCTTGAATCTATGTAACTTCGGTCTTCTATTTTATTTTTCTTGGTTGAGAGTGAGTAGTAATAAGCCCAGGATTATATGAGAGAACTGCTGCTGATCATTAGGCCCCGAGCATTTCCGTTTCACACAACAAGCATAATTTTTTCACCTTTAGCTAGATAGTATTTTTATCTGCTTTTTCTATGCTGTTGCTGTCATGCAGTGCAGTTCTACTGTGAGGTGACGATCACCAAGAACTCTATTTATAGACAAAATGCTAGTAAAGTGAATGTTATCTAATTTGTCTCATGTTGCAGGCACGGCCCTTGTTTAAAGATCGAAGGAAATTTGCACAGATGGCTGACCCCTTACTCCATGGCCAGTATCCAGCGAGGGGCTTGTACCAAGCTCTTGCTGTAGCTGCAATGTGTGTTCAAGAACAGCCTAACATGCGGCCCCTTATAGCTGATGTAGTCACAGCACTTTCTTATCTTGCTTTGCAGAAATATGATCCAGAGACCCACCCAGTCCAGGGCTCTCGCACAGGCCCTTCTACTCCTAGAACTAGAAGAGAACAATGAAGTTGGTAGGGGAGAGATTTAGTGAGAACAGTTGTCCAAGGATGGTTCAATCCTTGGAAACCAACGATTGGACTGCTATCATCCTGCAAACCATGGGAACACAGGATGTTTCATCCAAACATCTTTCTTTCCATGATTCAGAGATCAGTGGATTGGAGTTCAGTAGTGTGCAATTGTTGGCTGCATTCGCAATGGTATTTGATGATGAAATCCTGCAGCAGTTCCAGACACGGTGCTGCAATAGAAAATTCCTCCGCCGATGTTTTGTAAGATTCGTCTTGGCCTTACAAATATCATAATTCCCCCGTCTTCCAACCCTTATACAAAAATTTTTCATGTACAATTGAGCTTGGGGCTTTGTATCTAATTGTCTTCCATAATAGAAACTTGTGCAGCCTTGAAAAAATTCTGCTTGGCATTACGCCTCAGTGTTGGTATTTTTTTATACACCCCTGATTTGCCCAGGATCTTTGGAACTCATTAATCTCTCAGGGTGGCTTGTTTTGGATTTGGCATTCTCCCATGACAGGAATTTGCGGTTCTGGAATATGGGTGTATGCATGTTTTGTCAATAGCCATAACTAGTTGAGCATCTGGCAGTGGAGCAGGAGCATCTATCCTAGACGAAAAACAGACTACAACAACGAAAGCAAGCCAAGGAAAATAGATTGGACCCAGAGCCTTGTATAATCATAGTATCTTATGACTTGGAACAGCCTTCAGAATTTATTTCACTGTTTGTTGTTAAAACGCGCCAGCTCTAGGCATGCCATGCTATTCTACTGTCAAAACTACCGTAAAGGAATTTTCAAGAATTAAACCAAGCATCACCACGCATTTCCTCCATATTTCAACCAAATGAACTCAAATGCCGACCACTGAAAGATTGATGTGATTGTTTCACTGATGATAAACATTCTCTTCACCTCTACACTAATGTTATTATTGTTTAATGAACAAACAATTAATGGAAATGGGCTCTACAATGAAAAAACCCAAAAAAAAAAAAACAAGAAACTAATCTATACTCTGCCTGAACTTACCATCGTACACAAAAAAATATCTACCAAGTCCACAAATAGGATGTTTCACGATCTACATATCATTATGGTAAATATGCAATTTTCTATTACTTGTCGTGTGCTGAAATGCCATTAGTCTCCTGCTCAGGATTCTGCCCCTCAATGGTAGACTTGTCATCACTTGCCTCCTCAACAGTAGTGGCTTTCCCCTGTTGAGTTCAGTTTGAGATAGCAACATTATTATTATTATTATTTTCATGAGGAAAATTAGCAACTTTAATAAAAAAAAACAATCGACAGCTAACACTAGGCAAATAAAACTAGCATCGTGTTGAAGCAAGCAACTTTACACTTAATAAATACGAAGGGCCGGTGCTCTGGTACACAGCATTAAAAAAAAAAAAAAGATTTTGGTAATTAGCTGCCTCAGGCAATATTTTAGCCACAGCAAAACAAGAGACTGTTGAGCCCAGTACACAGAACGGGCCAAACTCTACGGGGGTGTCACCCCAGAGACTCAAGGGGAATCCTGGAAGGGTTAGGCAGCTAGCTCTCCTTATTACTCCAATTATAGACAAAGAAAACAAAATTAAAAGGCAGAAAAACAGATAATCATGATGAAAAAGAAATCCAAGCTAATGAGTAGTTTGAATGCAGCAATAACTATCAGCTACCCCAAAATGGACACATCAAAATCCTATTCATTAGCACACTGCAATATATAGGTGGTGAAAGCATTCACGAATTTAAGGAGGCAGTAGCACAATAAAATCAAACCTTGTTTCGGTCACGCCATCCAAGTCCAAATGGTCGGGCTAGTAAACTAATCTTTCTCGCAGGTATTTCCTGTTCAGGCTCTTGATTGGCACGTGCTTGTGAATCTGGATGTGAAGATCTACAAAGAAATTTATGTTTCTTATAAGCACCAATTATCCAAGTAGGTACAATATGTGTGTGAAACAGACAATACTTCATGCATTTTCTGCTCAGGAACGCATATCAAACCTTGGGGACAGAGAAGGAGATGACAATTCAAATAGAATTTATTTGACAGCATGGGAAGTTAGAGCAACCTACATAAATGTAGGCGTGTCTTTTAATTAATTGATCCAACATATGAAAAATTCCATTTCTCATCCCATTATGTTCAATCCACTCTATTCCTTTACAGTACATCAAACTGACCCAAGCAATAAATCAAAGTAAATATGACCACATAAAGTTCCAAGGAATGGTGAAAAATTAAATCGTGTCAACAAGAAATTAGGACTGCACACAGGTTTCAGAAATGTTTGGCACTAGCAAAAATTGACTACACACCGAGGAGAAGGTTGTGCTTTAAGTTGACCAGACTGATACTGCAAAGTGGCCTCCAACATTGACTCTGCCATAACCACTCGTTTCTCCATTTCAGCAAGTGATGCAATGGCCTGTTCATATTTTTCCTGCATATAAACAGTTGTTGGAGAGAATAGTGAAACAAAGAGACAAATAGAATGTCAAGAAGTGAACATTTTCAGGGTGTTGAAATACAGAACAGATCAATTAAAGAATGACAAAGGAATCCTGTGCGCTCCTCAGTGAAGAGGGAGCACAACTAATCTATAGCTCAAGGAACTATGGTAGAAAAGGACTCTCTCTGTCATATCAAGTGTGTTCCGCATAACATACAGAAAAAGGGCTAGTGTGACAGGCGGTGTGCACAAGGCCCAGGAACCAGTTCACCGCTGTAAGACTAGTTGCAGCCATATGTGAAATCATGATTCTTGATATGGGCCTTCCTCCATTGATTCTATTAGGGACGCATTCCCTCTTACTTATGTGAAATTATCAGAGTCTCAATCATATCAAGTGTGTTCAGCATAACATACTGATTCCTATTTATATGGAAATTATCTTGGACCTTTATCTAACAGGCACCACCTTCCAGAACTAGGGTAGCGAAGGATTCATCACCAGTTCCTATTGGTTGATAAACTGCTAATAGATATGATATATTTGCATTAGAATCAAACAGTATGGCAAACATAATTGGTGTGTCCGACCTGCAAGTGTAAAGCTCAGGACACATCACATACATCATCATAGAATTGTCAAGACCTCTATGTGAATGTAAATTACATATAAAAGATGAACTGGGAATAGAACAAGAAATTATAAACCTGAAGCACTTGAGCAGCATATCTCTGTGCTGACGCATCTTGCTCAGCATATATGCGAGCATCTTCAGTTACCTTTTGATCTTGTTCCACCCGCATTAAGACCTGCATAAGAAACAAGTGAGCTATTATGAAGAAAAGACCAGGCCAAGATTTGAGAGAAGATACGATCTTCCCAAACCAAACTGATTGACCATGGAGCAAAAATAACCTGAAGCATGGCATTTTCTTGTTCCTGCTTATCAGCAAGAGCCCTCCGCAGCTCAGAAACCTCTTGCTCTAACTGTTCGACCTAAAGATCAGAAGTAGATGCTCAGCACATTTGATCAAAGTTAGATAGCAAGGACTTAACTAGCATAGTAACTGATTAACTGCATATTGCTTAAAAAATCCCAGCTTAATGTGAAGCCCAATAACAGCTACTGTATGATCAAATTTTGCCTACTGCTACCATCACTCCTGGGGGCATAAAACGAAGTGGATTCTAACTACAATGTGAAAACTGTTCTAAAAGGGAATTGGAAATAATACAGAATAGCTGTGGATTTTGCATCATTTCATTTCCCTGAGCCTTGCAATAAAATCAACCATTTAAAGAAGAAGAAGAAAGTTTGGGCATACCCTAGCACTCAATTGCCGACGATTATCTTGCTTGACCATCTCCATCAAAGCTGTCTCCAACTCCTCAGCTCTAACAGAATTGATATTAACATAAATTTAATGTAATATTATGGAAAAACAAAAACAATTCGACAATTAAAAAAGAGGCAATTCTACATCAAATTATGCAGGCAAGAGAACTGCAGAAACTTTTTAATTTTTTTATACTGTCACAAGGAGATATAAATTGTTATTAATGTTGTTTCCATGAGACTCCTAGCTGGAGACAAAAACGTATTTTTTTTCTGCCAGAGACACCATATCCATTCATAACTCAGCTATGCTCTTTTTCCTTCTTTTATTAGAACACAAAACTCACCTATACTAAAGCTTCACAGCATTTATTGGGGATGTTTAAGAGATCTAGTCATGTTCAAACTGTGAATTCCATCCACGCAAAAGCTAAATTTTGGAGATCTAAGTAGCTAGTTGATAGTTATGAAGCAAGTGCTAGCTTGGAACCCAAGTACTGCATTCAGATCCTCAGCTCACTCTATGAAGTGCACGTTGAAAATTGAGGGTGAATCAAGGTATCATTTTCTTTACAATTACCAACAAAGAATACAAGGCCGGAATAGTGCAGTTGTTTCTTCGTATTATAGCCCTCAATGACCAAAATGGTACTATGTCACTCAACAGAAAGGCAAATTTACAAAATTGAATTGGAAAAGTACCAGGAGAAAGGTCAAGGCCCTTTATGGATGTAGAAAGCTAGAGTGAAAAGTTTAAAACAACCAAAGGCGATATTCTGAAAACTAAAACAAGGTCTAAGCTGACAGCAGCAGAAAAGATGAAAATTCCAAAATGAAGTGGTGACTTTGGAAAACACTGAAGGCTTTTCTACATAAATGCTCCTACTATCTAGAGCTCTAAGAAATCCTGAGGAGGTAGATGATATCGTTAGTACTGTTCCCAACGCAAATAACACTCATGGAATTTCAAATTTCCTTCTCACCACACATACAAACTCTAACAGCCAAAAAATGCTCCATGTGTTGCATGCAGCTCGTGGTAGCCTAGGTTTTAAAATTGAGACTATACATCCCAGTAAAAATCTTAACCTGAGCATGGTAGATCTTTTCTCCTCTAGCAACTTGCACAGTTCAACCTTCAACCACACTACCTGCATGACAAAAGAACTGCATTTCACCATCTGGCATCATAAGACAATTTCTAGACTTGTATTAATTTCATAAAGAAGGGAATATAAATTCCAAGTTTCATGAAGGTTTCCACAAACAAGATATCAAAGGGGGGCACAAAGCAAAGCAAGAATACAAACACAACCCAACCAGACATGAAAACGCTTAGTAATGAAACCACTACAATACTGCACCTTAATTATAGCATAACATAACCAGCATGTCCAGTTTGGACTTCGCTGGTTGAAACATGCTGTTTAATATATCAAATCAGCTCTGATCAAGAACTTCCAGATCTCAAATACATATTTCCCTCCCCAGTAATATCTCCAGAGGTTCGTAACCATAAAAGTGACTGTTTACATTACCCTCCCCAGCAATTGCCCAAAAGCCCTAGTGCCATTGTTTACATGGTGATCTTCCTACATATCATTCAAATCAGAGCAGAGTCCATCAATTCTTTTTCCCTCACATGACTTAAAAAGTATGACCACTTCATTCCCAGCAAAATTTTTGCAAGGACGATCTATATATCTACATTTATATAGTTTCTACTCTACTACAACCAAAGTAATGCCTGGTCATCAACTCAAGGGGCTTGTGTAAATAAACATCATGTGGACACTCTATGGTAGACAATCATCATTAGATTTGTACAAATTCTGCATCAAGGAAAAGATCATGCTCGAGAAAAGGGGGGGAATGTTTAGCTACCTGATCTGGAACACTATCTATTTCTGCATCCTCTGTCAGGCTAATAACTTCATCTGCATTGGTGGATCCAGACTCTGAACGAGACAATTCACCACTAGTCTTTTTAGTTGTTTCCATCAGTACTGACTTGCGATCATGCTTGAAATTATATAGCTTAGTTGCCAGACCCTGAGAATCCCTCAAAGCTTGAAGCCCCTTTGTTCTTTCCTCAACCATAATTATAACAGCCTGTCGATGCTTATTTCTCAGCTCTTGTAATCTGGTTTCATTTACATTTTGGTAACCCATGCAGGCTGTTAAGACAAGTTGACTGCTATCAAACGTTGAGCCTGCCAGTGACTGTAGCAAAGTAACTGCATCTCCAGCATCCTTAGTGGTAACTAATGCAGGACCTACAAGAGACTGAACTAAATTAAGTTCCATAAACTATAACAGCCTCACTTGAAGATCAGAAAACCAAGTCACTGTTTGTGGCGGAAAAAAAAAAACTCAACATAATTCCTCAGTACCATATAACTCCATCAAAGCAAGTGCTGTCCTAAATAACATGACACGGTTTCCTTCGTAAAGGAGGACATCCCAAACTCGGAGAACTGAAGTCAAGAGAAAGCAGTCAGATGCCAAGCTTGTAACTAGGGCACAATACAATGAGAATAAGAACGAAGAAATTAGAAATGCTGTTAATGTTGAAGTGAAAAGCTTTATCATGCAATGCTAGAAAGACTTAAGTTCATATTTTAAAGCTTAAAACCTGACCACTTTCCCAAGGAAGCATGTTCATGAATATGGAAAGGAACCATGGCCCAGTAACCCAAGCAACCTGCACTCCCAGGTAATCAAGATGATTGACTGCACCAAAAGTAAAGCTGGCATAAGAACTCTCCTAGGTAGCATCACCGAAGAAATTTTATGCATGTATAAATAATTAGGAACAGCACAAACCCAATTTAGGAAACCTTTCACGCACTAGCTCCTCAAAAACAAGTTGGTCAACCTGACAAATGGAATGGTTGATCAGATACCTATCCATATCTGCTGATGGATCACAGCATCATAGCAAAGCATTGCCAGAGGAAAGGGCACAGATATACAGAAAGACAGATCTATAGTAAGCATTACCTGTGACTCTATCATTTCCTCTGAGTAATAACCATCAAAATAGTCATCGATAATACCCATCAATGTCCTGGGAATTAAACCAAAATTTAGGGGCACAGCAATATCAAAATTGATCTGACATAGGAAATATAAATCCAAAAGTACTGTAAAAAATTAGGACTAATTAAATTGTGTTCTCTGTCATTTGACAACATAAAACTACAGCAGCACACTTCTAAATACAAGGACTATCCAATTGGGGGGGGGGGGATTACAATGGCAAAAACAAAATTTCAAGGCCTACCAGAAGGCATTTTCTTCAGGCATCAGAAGTAGCAACAAGGCAGCAAAAAAATTCATGGCCTGCATATATATATATATATAGAACCCAAAAACACATTAAAATTCGATGGCATATTCTTGCAATAAATCACAGTTATTGAACTTGAATAATTTGTTACTTTAGTTGAAACTTGTCTGAACTGGCAGTATAATGTTGTCAAATCACATTTTGAATGCCGCAACTTTTGTCTTATCTACTAATATCCTCTTTATCCAAATATATCTCATAAGATGAGAGAGAATTTCTTTTGAAAGTTATAAGACTTCTTTTAACAAAGCTGAAACTGGCAGGAGATAGGTTGTTGTGATTACAAGATCATTTTTGCAATTTGTGCAGATATTGCCTGATTTTTAATATCATATAGTTGTGATTTTAAATTAAAAGTTGATAATTTCATTACATGTATTGCATGCTTGTTAATGATAATGTTATCATTCAAAGTGATTCTGAATGTTGTAATAATACTCAATTCAACTACATTCAGGAATTGCTCGATTTTGATCAATCATCTCCATTTGTGTTCATGGAATTTATAAAGCAAAATTTTAAGTTTGGCCAAAAATTTGTAAGGATGCAAATTGTTCTTATTCACATTGTAGCTGTTTCATCTTCTTTATAACATATGTCATGAAATTCATCACATCTCCAGATTTAGTATTTTTTTTAGTACTCTGGCAGGCCAAGCCTTGAAAGACACAAGTTGATTTCATTGAGCACCATAAGCATTTTCAAGTACCTGACAGTAGCCAACGGCAGGGTTATGTCGAGCATATGCTGTCAGCAATCGCCTCAGAGCATCTCTACCATCATTGTCCAAAGCAGGATGACCTGGAAAAGTTCTAGGCAAGTCCTGCATATGAAACCACTAATATGTTGGGTGATGACTTGGATTGAGAATACCAAATAGAAAAAAAGTAGGTACCATTCTAAATTTAAAGACTATGGATGCCATTACCTTCTCAATCTGCCCTTTCCATTTCTCTGGTACACAAACAGTGTCTGCAGTTGAACCTTTGGTATCACTGTCTGATTGTTGGTCTACATGATTTCCAGAATTAGTTTCTGAAGCAAGCAGATCCTGGTAATACTTCTCCACTCTGCGTGTCCTTGCACCCACAAATGCTTGCCAGAGCTAAAATTGAGAGCACAAATCAATTTTGAAGCTCATGCACCATGAAACAAATTTAATTTGAGAAGAAAAGGAAAACAAATAGCACAGAATATACCTCTCCTCTGAGTGCCATTGGGACTCCCCCTCGTACAAGGACCTCCAGCTCTTCTTTCCAAGGAAATGAAGATTCCAGAGGCAGTGCATCAGCAGGAGCACCTGTGGCAGGGGCACTAGCACTGTCACTGGAAGAGGTGTCTTGATTTGGATCTGATCTTTCCACATCGTAAAACTCGTCTTCAGAATCCTCTTCAGATGCTCCTTTTGCTGATTTAGCATCTTCAAAAGAAGGTACCATACTTTCTTTTTTAGTCTCTTGCTGGTCTTTTGATTGGTTTGCTTTCCTCATGATGCGAAGACTCATCATATCCTCAATGACATGGAGGGATGGCCTGATCTCAGTCCATATTTGGATCCCATGAGTCTTTTTACTGGTTGCAGACTGTTTCTCCTTGGTAACGTTTTCCGGTAAAACATCAGAACTAGGTTCCTCACCACTTATATCAACGCCCTTCTCCGAGCCATTATTTATCTCTTGCTCTGTTGCTTCGGCATGCAACTCCTTGTTATATTTCTCAGAAGATGTGCCATTTATCGGCAATTGAGAAGAATCTGATTGCTGTTCCAAGAAGGTCTTCCATCTATCCGATCTTTCCTCTTCTTCCTCCTGAAATCACAATTTCATCAGAAAAACAAGAGAAATAAAAAGTTACTCGCCTTAGCAAGCAACTTCTCTATCTCAAACTCCATTTGATTGCATTAAAAATATTAGGAGATGCAGATAAATCAAATCTTGGATAAAAAGTTCCGGATAGGTAATGAAACAAGCCTCGTTTTTCAATCTTGGTAATGTTCGGACATTTGCTGCTCTCAATTATCAATACTTTCAGGAACCGAAACACTGTTTAACAGCTTCCTCGACAACTAAACAGACTATTCAATTTTTTAAGTATAAAAGAAGCAAAGCAAACCTGGTAGATATTAGCATATTCTCTGTATCTTTGTAAATGCTGCGGTCTCACAGCAAATCCATACGCATCCCTGTCCACACCAATGTCCATTAACAACATAACACCTCCACAACAACAATTCAGGAAAATTCCCGATGGCATGCAAATCACAAACATACACACAAACACTTCTGCCCGCAATAAATAAACAAAGAAAAAAAATAACTCTAAAATAAATAAATAAAAAACTCATGGATTAAGACAGATCTAAATAAAATGAATTTACCTGCAATCAACCTTGAAATCTCGCTGGCTCAAACTAGACAACAACATGTTCCACTTAAAACTACAATTCTACCCTCCATATCTCTCAACATTCCACTCAGATTTACCAAAAATCACCGCATTTCACACATAATTCCTAAACTTAGCCAAACATCACGCATTACAGTAACCAAATTCAAACAAATCAAGCTCGGTAATGATCAAACTAGCAAAGTCAAAGAGTAGTCAAAGAGTAGTCATAAACGCGATCGATCAGAGAAATGTGTGTGCTAATGAAGTTCAACTCCATCACGCAAACTGTAGGGGCCGCAATTCGATAGATCATCTCAGAAATAAAAAGAAAGAAAGTGACGCGTGGCGAGAGAAGATGGGAGAGGATTTGTAGGCGTACCTCTTGTGTTCAAAGGCGGTGAGAGGGTTGATAGATTTCGTTTGGGACTTCATTTGCTGGATCAATTTGATTGGTCCGTTTTCACAGCCTTTCTGTTGAGAGATTGATGCAGGTAGAGGATCTCACTCCGCAACTGATTTTCAGGGAGGGGGGGAGTGTGTGTGCGCGTTTGCGCTAAGTAGTGTGGGTTTTGTGAGAGTTTTAAGCGAAGGTGGGAGGCTAGAAAAGAGCAGAGGGGCACATGCGAGTAGCGAGATTGTCGTTTACATCATTACATGTGAGATTTGTGAGGCGAGTTGCCGTTTTTTGATATTTTTTCGTTTTTTAAGCACGGAGTTCGAGGTTGTGTTTAGCGGAGGGAGAAAGAACTAAGAAGGGAGAAAAGGGCGCTTTTTGGTAAATTTGATGCCTGTATTTGGCTAAATAAGGGACCCGCAATGGGGAGCTATGGACCCACGAGTGAGCTGATATGGTCCCGGTGACGGTGATGCCGGATGGGTGCCGGTGTGTACCCTGAGGCAGTGCCGATTAAGGTTTTGTGTTGATTATTATGATTCTAATTTGGTAAAACAGGAAATACCTTTCCTATTGTCAGTCGGTGCTTATTGTAAATGCAATTAAGGTAGGGGTGGTCTTATTTTATGATGAATAATATTATGCTTATGTCTTTTTATACTTTGTTTTTATATATATAAAGGTAAGAAACTCATGAAAAAAATATTTTTTTTATAGATATTAAGTAGTAGAATTGAGAAATGATATTTTGATATTAAAAAAAATGTTTCAAAATTCTCTCAGTAATGTATTTTAGTAACCAGTTGTTTTAAAAAAAAAATAATAAAGAAGTTTTGTAATGTCATGATTTATTTGAAGCTGTTGATATCTCTTTTCTTATTATTTTCATTAGCTTTTCCTTTTATTTTATTATTAACTACTTAAAAAAAAACAATGTAATTGTTTTTATGTTTTAAAAATATTTAAAAAGAATTAAATTTAAAAATTAAAATTTTTTATTTATTTTAATAAAAAAATATTTTATTTTTGCTTCAAATCAATTTTATTTTTTATATAGTTTTAATATATTAATATTTAAAATAAAATTTATTATTTTTATATATTTTTAAATAAAAATTATTTTAAAAACACAACGGATACTTCAATATAATACATATTATCAACGGCATCGTGCAGAATTTCTTGCGTTCTTCGTTTGGGGTGAGCTTCTAGTTTGATCGAAGGGTGCGGGGTAAATAATTTCTTCAGACGGTAACGATTGTGTCGGCAATCAGACTTTATACTGTGTCAAAAACACATCAAGCATGCCTAGCATGATGCATGGCGTTCATGCCTTATCCAGTTGAACATGACATTAAGGGAGTTAATAGCCTTAACGATCTGTGAAAATTACAGAATGGACAGCAGAGGATGAGTGGTGTTCCTTCAAATAAGTAGGCCCAGGACGGCATCATTGGTGCCATCTGATTCTCAGCCAGTGCAAAATGTCACCACCAAATCGACCATTTTGCTTAGTAGGTGCCCAGCAAGGAGCTTTTTTGACGGGTCTTCGTGAACATGGAGATGGAGTAACACTGATGTTAATTGCTTGCTCATCTGCTTCATCATGAAGTAAAGCGACTTTCTGTTTTAAGTTTATTTAAACTTGATTTTTTGTGAATATGAAAAAATGTTTGATTTAACAGTAAATTTATTTTTAAATATTTTGTGCATCAGTTATATTAATCTTAACCTTTTTCATTTTTTAAAGAGTTGAGACATGTACTCTATAACCTATTTTCTCCTTCAGTTTGTTTGTGTGTTCATGTTCGAGTGTGTGTTTTTTTAAGAATATTTTTAATTTAAAGATATATTAAAATGATTTAAAAAAAAATAAGCAATATCTAATTGAACTAGGACGAATCGTAACTTGGCTCGACGGAGGTTGTCTCGCACTACTCCTTCACGAATAGGAGAGTTTTCTCCTCCACGTCTTAAATCACTGTTAAGTTTTTCAGATTGTTTTTTCTTTAAAATATGTTATGATATAAATATTAAAATAATTAATTTAAAACAAAAATAATTTAAAATTTAATAAAAAATTAATTGAATCGCAACCCTAAACAGCCATAAACCCAGCTACTTCTTTGAAAATTACGGGGACAAAGTTCTTTAACCCACGTAACTGGATATGATCAAGAGGCATTCGAAAAAAAGAAAATTATATGCTACCCTAGGTGGCGTTACAGGTCACTGAACCGAGAAAAGTCATGACACATTCATTGTAATTGATGTTCAATTTTATCTTAACGTCTCAAACAAATTCTTCTTTATTTATTTTCATTATCTCCGTCACATGTTTGGTTTCTTTGTTTTTGAATGTGCGGATCACGGATTCAAGGTAACCTAGTCTTGTCGATTGCATTTGCATAGAATTCTTCGTTATATGGTCCTGTAGACTTTCATATTTCAGTTCGAGATATCCTAGTTTTATAGATAATGTGCGGATCCCGGATCTAGACGCTAGTTTTATAGATATCCTCACGGGTTACCCTCGCAAAAAATCCCTGCCATGCGACCCTTCACTTACTTGGATCGAGGCGCTAATCTGGCTCCTGTCTCGTGGGCAAGAAGTCCCTTTTCGTCGCAAATCGTGGTTTTTTTTTAATAGTTTGGGATGAACGTGGTTTAAAATATTTTTTTTGAAAAATATATTAAATTTTTTTTTTATTTTTAATATCAAAAAATTAAAATAATTTTAAAATATATAAAAATTAATTTATATTTTTTTAAAAAATTAAAACTAATAAAAAACATTTACACCTTATTTCTAAACACAACTTTAATAGCACACGACCACGCAACTAAAAGGGTTGTTAAGGAACCATCTAGGTGGTGGTCAAGTGGTACTGTCAAGGGAAAGGCCATGTGAACCGACGGAGCAGAATCAACCTTCGACGCTTCACTTGCTATCAGCTACTATTTTCATGCCAAGCCATTTCCCTGTCCTAACAGAAGGCAGTTGAGAAGCCAATGTGTAGAATATGGGAGGACTACAAGGGTTATAAAACAAGGGAACTTATAAAATGGATTAATATCTCTCATTCGACCGCCTATTTCATTTGACTTTCAGAGGAAGGTGTTTCGAAACCCAATTTAATTGACTTTTCGATAACAAGGTGAGTTAATCTATTTTGATACAGGAAAAAGCTTAATCAGCCACCAACTCTGTACAAATCATGCCCTACAGCTTGACCTTTGTTTTTTTAAGGCTTTCACACACACACACAACATATAATGAATAACGAAAGAAATTTTTGTTTTTATATTTTAAAAATATTTTTTTTGAAATGATTTTATTAGGTGTTTTCCATGTTATTTTGATATGTTAGTGTTAAGTATAATTTTTTAAAATTTAAATAATATTATTTTAATATATTTATATAAAAAATATTTTAAAAAACAATTACCACCACACCTTTAAACATCTTTAAAAATAATTTCAGGATACATGATATAAAAGTCTTCGTTGCATTATGATAATAATTAATGTTTGGATAGGTTAGGTTTGGGATATTGGTAATTTACAAGACCTGCATGCACAATTTTATTATATACTTTTTCAACAAGTCTTGTAGCATATGGTTTACAGAATGGATTAGTTTTTTAGTTGTAAATTTACATAATTTTATGAAGAGTCTGTGAAGAATATCTATTCTAAAAAGCATTAAGGTGTAATTAAAAAAATAAAATCACCTATAGGGTTAACATATTTTACTTAAAAATGTAATTTTGAAAATACAATAAGAAACTCCCCCTTCCATCTCTAAACTAGTACAGTCCTCCAAATCCTGTCCTTTGCCACCAGTCCTTTCCGATTCAATACCATGCACTAAAACGATTCATCAAGGAACAAAAGGAGAATTAGTGGCCTAGTTACGGTACTCGATTGATGCAGCTAGGAGTATAGGGACTGAAATGAAATACACAGCACAATGCACCGACCAAAAAGAGACAGAAAAAACAACGCTAGAATATGCCTAGGAAGTAGGAGCCACCCCTAGAATCCCCAACCCCCGAATCAGGACCCCCGAAACAAAACCATCGTCCACCGAACACACAAAATCAATCTTTCCCTTCAATTTCAAATCCCAGCTCAAACATCACAAGTTCAAATCCCTTCCGCCACCGCCACCGCCACCGCAACCGCAACAACCGCAACAGCCATCATGCCAACCCTTAAACTAAGCATGGCAGTTTCACTACTTCACCACAAAAAATTAGCCCACACAATCACCACCACCTCCACCTCCACCGTCAACCCCACGCTATTTCTCACTCCTCACTCTCTCTCTACACCCCTAAATAGCGATAAAAGTTTGCGCGCGTTAACACCCTGCGCGCACCTCCCCTCTAATAAGATTAATAAAAATACCCCGTATTATTACCATTATAACATTACTAGTTATAATAATAACAAAAGCAGCGAAAACTTTTTAGGAGCTACGTTTCGTGGCTCTCTTTTATTTCCCTCTCGCAAATCTAGTTCATCTACCCGCTTCCCCAGACCCGACTCGCCGCCTTCGGCTTCCACTCCCGGGTCGGGTTTCGTTTCCGATATGGGAGCCGAGAATAAAATCGACGGCGATGTTGATTGGCATAAAAATGACCGTCAAATTCAACCACCGTCCATGTCACCGTCCATGCAGAATCACGATTCTAAATTGCTCACTTTGCCTACCATTTTAACCCTCGGTCGCGTAGCTGCCGTGCCGCTACTTGTTGCCAGTACGCACTGATTTAGTTTTTTTTTTTTCAAGTTATGATTTTTATTTTACTCATGTTTATTAGTTTTGGGTTTTAGATTTTGTTTTTTACTGGCTAATTGGATTTTTAATGGTAATTTGATTTTTTTTTTCTGTAGAGATGTGTATTGATTTAATTGGTTTTAATGGCATTTTGAGCTGTAGATTTTATTATTGGAGCAATGCTTCTCCTTTTTTTTTTTTTTGCAATTTATTGGAAGCATGAAATTAGTTTATCATTTTGGTGGTTAAAGCGACCATGATTTTTGTATTTATGCTAAATTTTGTTTTTAGTTTTGCATTCCATTTGAATATTTTAAAGTTGTAAAAATAAAATTTAATTGAATATTTTTTATTCGTAGAATTAAAATTTAAATGTGATTTGGATTCAAAGAGTCTGACGCTGTAATTTTTTGTGCTGTAGCATTTTATGTGGATAGTTGGTGGGCAAGAACCGCTACAACAAGTATTTTTGTTGCCGCAGCAATTACTGATTGGCTTGACGGGTACCTTGCACGAAAGGTGTAGTCTTTTTATACGATCAGAAAGAGAGAGTAAATTCTGTTGCGATAGTTTTGTGTGATTGGTTAAATTTAAATGCTT